TGCGCAGGGGGGTGGTCTCTCACCGCGGCCGTTATGCACGACGGTCGTCCAGGCACAGCAGGCGTGGCACTTTCTCGACGCCACTGGGGGTGCGCAGGGGGTGGTCTTTCACCGCGGCCGCTATGCACGACGGTCGTCCAGGCACAGCAGGCGTGGCACTTTCTCGACACCACAGGGGGTGCGCAGGGGGTGGTCTCTCACCGCGTCCGCTATGCGCGACGGTCGTCCAGGCACAGCAGGCGTGGCACTTTCTCGACACCACAGGGGTGCGCAGGGGGTGGTCTCTCACCGCGGCCGCTATGCACGACGGTCGTTCAGGCACAGCAGGCGTGGCACATTCTCCACACCACAGGGGGTGCGCAAGGGGTGGTCTCTCACCGCGGCCGCTATGCACGACGGTCGTCCAGGCACAGCAGGCGTGGCACTTTCTCGACACCACAAACGGGGTGCGCAGGGGGTGGTCTCTCACCGCGGCCGCTATGCACGACGGTCGTCCAGGCACAGCAGGCGTGGCACTTTCTCGACACCACAGGGGGTGCGCAGGGGGTGGTCCCTCACCGCGGCCGCCATGCACGACGGTCGTCCAGGGCATAACAGGCGTGACACTTTCTCGACACCATAGAGGGTGCGCAAGGGGTGGTCTCTCACCGCGGCCGCTGGCTGGCTCGCATCTGTCTTCGATGGAGGATAGAAGGCTAGGAAGAGGGAGGAGGTTCAAGCAATATGGCGTTGGATGACACAGAGGGGAACATTCTCGACGAGGGCTGAGAACGCAGAATTGCGCATATATGATAAACTTAATTAAGCAAACACATAAGATTTAGATTAAGTATGTGGGGTTCCTCGGTAGCGTAATGTTAGTGTCGTTTTTCTTCGAATTAGGGTACCCTCCCCGAAGCGAACTCGGTCTTATACCTCGGCCAGGCTGTACGAAAGCCCGGCGGTGGCGCCAGAGCTCGGGGAAAGGGAGAGACGGAGCGGATCGGGGATCTGCTGACCCGGGTCAATCCAGACCCAGGTCCGGCCTTGCAAGATCCTGCACCCAAACCCGGATCAATCGGGGATGGACAGACCTCCCTTGAGTAAAACGTGGTTTAGTGAAAACGACCTGAGGCCCAAACCTGGCGGGCGCAAGCCTGGAAAATAACGGCCGCGGCGCCCTCTCGAGAACCGAAAACGGACAGTTCACTACTCGACGTGTCACTGTTGGGGGTTCTGTCCACCCCCGACGGATCAATGCGACCTTGGCCCTGCAAGATCTTGCAAGATCCGGAGCTCTGGCCGACCCCCGTCTGCCTTGGACCCCGTCGCTTGAGCCCCAGAACTCGATCTTATACCTCACCCTGGCTGTACGAGAGCCCAGCGGTGGCGCTCGAGCGCGGGGAAGGGGAGGAGGAACAGGGGGAGGAGGAGGAGGAGGAGGAGGAGGAGGAGGAGGAGGAGGAGGAGGATGATGAGAAGGATGAGGAGGGGGAGGAGGAGGAGGAGGAGGAGGAGGAGGAGGAGGAGGAGGAGGAAAGAGTCTTGAGTAAAGGGGCGAGGCGGAGCGGAGCGGCGCGGGTCCTGCCGGGTCCCATCGGCGAACGCCTCTCGGAGACTCCCCTGCGCCGCCAGCGCCTGCGCCTGCGTGTCGTCCAGGCACGAGATGCGCTCGCGCGCCTGGCGCGCGCGGCGGCGACGCGGAGCGCGCCAGCGGTGGCGCCGGAGGCGCCGCAAGGCGCCCTAGGTGCCGCTTGAGGCACAGCGCGGATCCAAAACATCCGCGCGGACCGGCGACAATATGTGCTCATGCCGCTTTTTCCTCTTCGACGTCGGGACTGCGGAGGGGCGCGCGTTGGGAAGGTGAGCAACAAGCAACATGCGGTACGCAAGCTATTCAAGGGGCCCAAGGAGACACAAATAAATACACACAAATAAAGCAAATCCCTATCATTTCCTATATTTCTGGGTTTTTGCCTTCCCGCCCAATTCCAATCTTTTCCCATGCTTTCTGGGGAATCGGCGATCGTGTCTGTGTGTTTTCCCCTCCTGAGCTATTGCCAGGAGGGGAGGGCGCTTGGGCGCCCCACAGGAGCACGTGTCGCGCGAGAGCGCACCTTGGCACACGGAGGTCGGGCACAGCACAGTGGAGGCCAGTCCACTAGGCATCTTCCACAAGAAACCCAACCCTGAGACTCCAGGACGTCTGTGGTTTTTGTTGGTGCGGGAACGCCGTGCTTCCCCTCGCAAAACCCTCGAAACCCAAGACACCCAGGGCACCCTCGCGGCAAGCAGGGTGTTTCTTGCAATGGGCCTCTACTGTACCTGCCACGTAATTACGCGGCGCATTCTACGAGGTGCAATTTGCCTTTTGAAGAACCTAGACTCGCTAGCTCCAGTGATCGAGCGCAAACATCCCGCCCCCCACCGGCCCCTGATGGGCAAACCTCGGAAGGCGCACTGGCGCGAACACCCTTAAAGAGCAGATCCATGCCACGGGCGAGCGAGTGATGGTGGTGACGGAACACCCTAAAAAAGCAGATCCATGCCACGGGCGAGCGAGTGATGATGGTGACGACGGCATCGGCGGCGACGATGGCGATCATGATGATCATGGTGCTGGTGATGGGGATCGGAGGTTACAGGAACCAACACAACACTCGTATACTTTCTCGGAGGTCCGCGCGGATTTCTTGGATCGGCGCCGGATTCCCCTCCCTGGAGGGAGCGCGCAGCGCGCCGGTGGCGGCGCCGAAGGCGCCGCCAAGGAGCTCCAGCGCCCAGCCGAGAAGTCCACGCGGAGCTCCGACAACTTGTATGCTCGGCCTGCGAGCTGGCGCTGCGCCTGCGAGAGGCCTGCGAGCGTTCGGCGCTGGCCGCCGACCTGGGTGGCGCAGCGCCGGCCTCCAGGCGCGAGACGCGGCATGGGGCTTGGTTTTTTTTGGGGGGGGGATCCCCGCCCCGCTCGGCCACGGCACCCGGTGCGCCCGTCACGGGCACGGGAAGAGTGTGTGCGAGTGATGGGCCGATTGTCCACCATCGCTACCATAGGTAGGAGAGGGAGGAGGAGGAGACGGAGGAGGAGGAAGAGGGGGAGGAGCTCCGCCGTTTTTCGGCGGCGAGCGAGGGGGGGAAAGTGAGAAGGAGAAGGCCTCCTCAGTAGGCGGCGGGGCTTCTCAGAAGGCCTTGGGCCTTCTAAGAGATGTTCGGTGCCTTCGGGGAAGGCTTCCAATACTTTTCAGAAGGCTAGGGGACTTCCGATACTTCTGAGGAGGCCCGTCCCTTCTCACCTTACCCCCCGGGCTCACCGCCGAGTCTTTTTTCTTCGAGAGGCACATGGAAGACCAGCATACGCGAGGAGAGAGGTGTCGGTCTCATGGCAGGCAGCAGGCGGCAGGCGAAGGGCGGCGGACCTGGCTAAAACCACATGTGAGACCTACCAGTGGAGCTCAAGGACACGCAAATAAGTAGACACAACCCCCATGATTCTACATAGTTTCCAATCTTCTCTGGGTTTCTGTCTCCCCCCACTTCGAATGTCTTCCCATCTTCTCCTGGGAGTCGACGACTCATTGTGTCTGTGCGTTCAGTCCCCTCCGGAACTGTCCCTGCAGATCAGATTCCTGAAAAGCTGGCCGGGGTCAGAATAAAAAAATCTGCAGCCGAGTGAAGCCCGGCTGGGGTGTCCGATACCCCGGTGTCGGTTGAACCCAAAAGGTTACCGTCAACCCGTGTCATAAGGATGCGCAGCAAGGATGCAAGGGCCTAGGAGGCCCATGTGAACGTTGTTCCAACGAGGTTGGCCAGCGGAAGCCGCTGAGGATGGGCCGAAATGGCAAGGATCGAAGGGTACCCTTGGGAAGGTTGCCCATCGTTGCTATTAAATCGGGCATGTCCCTCTACAGGAGGAATCTTCAAACATCATCAAAAACAATTAGGTGACGATTTTCGAGTATTTTGGGCGAATGTTGAATCCTTGTTGGGACGACTTTTGATTTTTCGAGGACGCGACTGTGCGAGCTGACTACTCGGGTCGGGCGAAAGGGGGGGATAGCAAAGGGGGGGTTTTGAGAATCAGCTCACGTAGCTGATTTTCCTAGCGCCTCCCGGCGCCAGAGGCGGCTAATGTATCGAGGAATGGGCCCCTCGGTGAGGCCGAAACCAGCTGCATGCAGCAGATTTCGTACCCCCCCCTTTCCGAATCCCCCCCCCTTTCGTCCGGCCCGAACTGTGGGGTCCGCTCGCGGTCGCAGAGGGTGGCAGGCCGCAGGCGGCGGGGCGGCCGGCGGAGGCCGGTGGCAGGCGGCACGGGGCGAGCGCGGGAGGCAGCGGTCGAGCACGGCTCTGGAGGCCGGGGTTGGGCCCCGGGGACGTCGCCGAGTGGGGAGAATGAAGGGGCCCTGGGACACACAAATATATTTTCCCATATTTTCTGGGCTTTTGTTTTCCCCCCCCAATCCCCATATTTTCCAATCTTTTCCTCGGAATCGACGATTAGTTGTGTCTGTGTGTTTCTTTCCCTCCTGAGTGTCGGCCCCGGCGTTGGCTCCTGACACCGCTGGGATCGTTCAACCTTGAACGAGCGGCCGTTCCATCGACGCCGGATCGTTCAACGACGGGCCGACTCTGGGCCACGGGCGGCGTTCAATCTCAAACGCACGCGTTGGGGTCGCCGCCGGTCGACACGACGCGAACCTGCCGTAACTGCGGGGGGTAAGGAAAGGTGCACTTTTCGGGCCCTCCAGGCCCCTATTCGGGCCCGAAAGGGGCCCCTTTGGGGGGCCCTGAGGGGCCCCTTTTTTCTGCAGCCCTCGCTTCCCCCCCGTTGCTTGCCCCCCCCCCCCCGAAGGGCTTAGGCGACCCGTCCTCTTCCTCCTCCTCCTCCTCCTCGACCTCCTCCTCCCCCTCCCCCTCCCCCACCTCCTCCCTCCTCCCCTCCTCCTCCTCCTCCTTTTCCCCTCCTCCTCCTCCTCCTCCTCCTCCTCCTCCTCCTCCTCCCCTCCTCTCACCCCTCCTCCCCCTCCCCCTCCCCTTCCCCTGCGGCGTCCCAACGCCGTTGCGCGACGACGCCCCACGGCGTTGGGACGCCGCGGCAGCACCTCCCAGCAGGCGCCCCCGGTGGTGCCTGCGCCTGCCCGAGCTCGAGCTCCGAGATGCGCTGGTGCGCCGCGTCGACCTCTGGGTCGGCTGCGGCAGGGGAGGGGGGGAGAAAGGAACACGGAGAGGAGAGGCAGAACGGGGAGAGGGCAGAGAAGGAGGAGGAGGGAAGAGACAGAAGAGGAGGAGGAGGAATAGGAGGATGCGGAG